TTCTATTTACCAGAAGTATTGAAGCGTTAGCGTATAAGCTTTGAAGCGTAAACTTACAAATATTAGTTTTAAAACTGAAAAAAATTAGTTGATATCACCGATAGTACGACTACAGCAGTCCTACAAAGAGGAAATATAGTTCTGTTTCAACTATTTTTTTTTTACTTTACTTGTAGGATTTAATTCTTTTTCTTCAAAAATCAATCGTAGTTAACTGGATATCTAATATTTTTAGGGTCTAGTAGCACATTTTTTACCGTCTATACTACTTTTTTTATATATTAAAAACAATTTTTCACTGCTTTCTGGACCTGTACTAAGTTGCAAACAATAAGATTTCTAAAGAAGTGCTAATTAACAGAAGTTTTGAAGTCTTAGCGTTCAAACTTTGAAGCCTATACTTACGAATATAAATTTTAAGACCAGAAGAAATGAGTAGATATCATTTATGGGCAGACCACTGCAGTCCTAGAATGGCGAAAAAATCGATTTGTAACTACTATTTTTGTTTACTTTACGTGTAGGATTTATTTATTTTTCGACGAAAATCGATCGTTGTTAACCTGAATTACAATTATTTTTGTGTGTAATAGCACTTTTTTCACCGTCCAATACTATTATTTAATATATTTAATAGAATTTTTCGCTGCTTTTGGACGTGTACGTAATTGCAAACTATGAAATTTCTAAAAAAGTGCTAAATTACGGAAGTTTTGAAACGTGGCGTTTAGCATTAAAGAGTATACTTGCGAATATAAATTTTAGGACCAAAAATATTAATTGATATTATTAATGGTCCGAACACAGTCGTCCTTAACACAAGAACAATCCTTTAATTTCAACAATTTTTAATAATTTTACGTGCAGAATTCAATTCTTTTTTGACAAAAATCGATCGTATGAAACCCGAAATCCAATCTGTTTAGTGTCCAATTGTAAATTTTTCACCGTCTATAAAATTTTTTTATTATATTTCCAAGAATTTTTCGCTGCTTTGTGGACCTGTGCGTAGTTGCAAACAATGAGATTTCTAAAGAAGTGCTAATTAACAGAAATTATAAAACGTTGGGGGTTAAGCTTTAAAGCGTATACTTACGAATATAAATTTTTAGACCAATAAAAATAAGTTGATATCATTTATGGTCCAAAAACACTTATCCTAGAAAGAGAAAAATTCAATCTTCTTCAACTGTTCTATTACCTTATGTGTAGAACTGATATTTTTTCGACGAAAATGGACCGTAGTTAACCCGAGATCAAATCTGTTTAGTGACTAATAGCAAATATTTACTGTCTATGAAAATTTCTCAATATATTTTGTTGTTGCAACCGATGCCTTAATCGGTACTCCAGTGGATAGTAGTGAATCGAAAAATGCCCTTACGGGTGATGTCGAGATTCTTTATTAATGGGAAGGAGGATAGGAAAATAAAAACTCAATAACAACTTTATTTGAGCCCAGTCAGTACTAAAAAGTACGCTTTATTTGGCTCGTCAGGGAAAAGCCTTTCGACATAAAAACCCTGGTTGAAACGTTGACGAAGAATCCGTACAAATCGGGATAATTCTGGCCAGGTGCAGGACCGCCTTTGTCCCTTGTCGCTGGCCGAACTTAGATGATGTAGTATTGCGCAATACAAATAATTCTCCTCGAAGTAGTTTCTCGCAAGTCGCAGCTTTCTAAGATAGATGAATCTCGAGCGATGAATCACGCGTGATGAACCAAGAGTTTCCAAATGATGAGTGCCAACAGGCGCAAAAACGCGCTGGGTTTTATACCAAAAAGCGATGCAATGCTGCACCAATCACCGAAAAGCCCGAGCATAACGCGGCTGTCGATACATGTGATTGGCATAATAAATGTGGTGGGAGAACTCAAGCTAGAAGAAAGAAGGAGCCCTTACAAGCATCTTAGCGCTACCGTGGCTACTACCAAAAACAAAGACACTGCTTTGTCGAGCGTGTCTCACGTCTCGGCAGGGCCGTGCACGCTCCGGCGCTTCGCCCTACTCACTCGTTGCATAGGATACGCAACATATTTAAAAGAATTTTTCGATGCTTTCCAGATCTGTACGTAGTGACAATCTATATGATTTCAAAAGAAGTAATAATTAACAGAAGTTTTGAAACGTTGGCTTTCAAACTTTGAAGCGTATACTTTCATATAAAAATTTTAGAACAGAAAAAAAGAAGTTGATATCACCGCTAGTCCGAAAACAGCATTCCTAGAAAAAAGAAAATTTGTTCTATTTTTACTATTTTTGTTTACTTTTCGTGTACAATTTAATTCTTTTTCAACAAAAGTCGATCGTATGGAACCCGACATCCAATCTGTTTAGTAGCTAAAATCAAATTTTTCACTGTCCATGCAAATTTTTCGCTGCTTTTTCGACATGTACGTAGTAGCAAACTATAAGATTTAAAAAGAAGTGCTTGTTGCGTATCCTACGCAACGAGTGAGTAGGGCGAAGCGCTGGGGCGTGTACGGCCCTGCCAAGGCGTGAGACACGCGCGACAAAGCAGTATCTTTGTTTTTAGTGGTAACCACGGGAGCGCTAAGATCGTTGTAAGGGCTCCTTCTTTCTTCTAGCCTGTAGTCCAGTCAATAAGATGAAAATTTGGAAAATCTAGCTAGCCGGGCGAAATTTGATATTATGGTAATTCGACGACGCTGAATCGAATGGTGCTAATTTTTTTGCAATTGGATCAGGAGAAAAGGGTAAAAAAAAAGAAAAAGGGTAAAAAAGGGTAAAAAAGGGTAAAAAAGGGTAATAGACGGCCGTATCTTAGAATCTAGGCATTAAATCGAAAAAAGTTTCAAACAAAAGTTGTAGAGAATTGAAAAATACATGAAAAGTGTTCTAAAGTGTATCTTTGTATTTGCAAAAATAAGCGAGAAAATGAAGATAAAAGGTAATTATAAGAGAGGGGGCAAGCAACGCCTCTTCGTTGGTCTTTACAGGCCAGTGGGCTAGTGTGCGTTATCTTGGGGTCTCTCGGTCGTGAATGCGAGTGCAAGTGAGAAAAGAAAAGGATGCTTCTCCCTTTTTATTTGTTTAGGCGATAGCGATTCTTTTTGTTTGGGCCATCGATTTTTGTGTGTTCTGTATTATATATTTCTGATATTTTTTCATGCTGTTGCGAGAATTTTTCGTCTCGGCCATCGAGTGTCGAGCGTTCTGTATATCTATATATATATCGGCGTATAAGCGCGGCATTTTTAAATCAAATCTTGATGCTTATGGCATGCCGTTTTTTTATTTATTGTCAAAAATAGTGAACCTTGATTAAAAGAAAAACTATAATTCATTTTAACAGAAACTATTATTATTTAGTCAACAAATTATGTATTTTAGGAAATATTACATTAAAGATTTGTTATCTCCTAAATATTTATTTGTGTATCAAATTGAATACATATTTGAAAAAGAAGAATTTTATATCTACACATAAAACTAATTCAATAATGTCTTTATTTTATTTTCATTATTATTTCAATTGTTATTTTTTTCGTTAAGTTTTTTTACAAATATCACATTTCCAAAAATATTTCTGCCGGACACTTCGTCTATAGAAACTAGCACCTCTATATCGGACAAATTTTAATAAAATTTATATTAAATTGAGGTACACTCTTTTCCTTACGGGTAGAGAAGTTTTTTTTTGCTTAATGTTTTGCATGTTAGCTGCAAAAACTTGCATAGAATGCAATGCTTTGAAGTGTAAATCTTTCACACATATTTGTCATATCTTTGAAACGTTTGCGTCACTATGTTTTATACTGAGAAGAACAAATTTTAATAAACTTCATAGTAGATTAAAATATTCTCTTTACCTTACGCGTAGAGTAGGTATTTTTGCTCTCTCTCAATCTTATGCATGTAAATTGCATAAACTTCCGCAGAAAGCTATACTGTTAAATGCATATCTTTTACACATTTTGTCATATCTTTGAATCGCTCGCGTCATAATTTTTATACTGACAGAGAATGAATTTCAATGAACTCCATATTAAATAAAGTACACTCTTTTTCTTACGCGTAGAGTACTTTTTCAAGCCTCATGTTTTGCATGTAAGCTACATAAAATTTCATAGAGTGCAATGCTTTGAAGTGCATATCTTGCACACATATTTGTCATATCTCTGTAAAGTTTGCTTCACTATTTTTTATACTAAGAGGAACAAATTTTAATAAACTTCATTTTAGATTAAAGTACACTCTTTACATTACACGTAGAGTAGGTATTTTTACTCAATTTTTTGCATGTAAGTTGCATAAACTTGCATTGAATGCAATGCTGTGAAGTGCATATCTTTCACACGTATCTGTCATATCTTTAAAACGATCGCGTCACGCTTTTTTATACTGAGAGGAAACAAAATTTAATAAACTTTATATTATTTTAAAGTAAACATTTTTCCATACGCCCAGAGTAGTTTTTATGGCTCAATGTTTTGCAAGTAAGTTGCATTAGATTCTGTAGAATGCAATGCTGTTAGGTAAATATCTTTTGCACATATCTGTCATATCTTTGAAACATTCGTGTCCTCATTTTTTATACTGAGAGGGAACAAATTTTATTAAATTTTATATTATACTAAAGTACACTCTTTTCCTTACGCATAGAGGAGTTTTTTTTGCTCAATGTTATGCATGTTAGTAGCATAAACTTCCCAAGTATTTAATGCTGTAAAGTTCATATCTTTTAAACATATCTTTTATATCTTTAAAACGTTCTCGACATTAATTTTATACTTAAACAAAATGAGTTTAAATGTACTTTATATTAAATTAAAGTACACTCTTTTTCTTACGCGTAGAGTATTATTCTTAGCCTAATGTTTTGCATGTAAGCTATATAAATTTCCATAGGATTCTATGCAGTTATGTAAATGTTTTACACATATCTTTTATATTTTTAAAACGTTCGCGTCTATAGTTTTTATGTTTAGGATAAACATATTTTAATGAACTTTTGGTGTGCGCTGCACAAAAAAGCTACAAACTTGCCTTGTGTTGTGTAGCTTCTAGTGCGCAACTTCCGGTATGCGCTGTAGGATACTGCGTAGCTTCTAGTGCAAAACTGCTGGTATGGGCAGTTAGCTAATGCGAAGCTTCTGATGTGAAACTTCATTTATTCACGGCTAGCTACTAAGAATCTGTTGGTACGAGACTTCAGGTATAAACAGTAGCCTACTGCGCAGCTTCCGGTGCGAAACTTTCGGTATGCGTTAAAGCCTACTACGCATCTTCAGGTATGCGTTGAAGAGTACTGCTCTGCTTACAGTGCGCCAAATCACACATATCTTTTATATTATTTTCATTTATGCATATATATCCCACATATCTGTCATATCTTTGAAACGATCGCGTCACTATTTTTGTACTAAAAGTGAACGAGTTTAAATGAACTTTTAGTAAATTTAAAGTACACCCTCCCGTTCGAATAGAGTATTTTCTTAAGCTAAATGTTTTGCATGTAACCTGCATAAACTTCCACAGAATCCACTGCTGTAAAGTGCATATCTTCACACATATCTAACATATTTGAAAAACGTTCGCAGTACTATTCTTTATATTTAAAAGAAACAAATTTCAATAAAGTTTATATTTAATTAAACTACACTTTTTTTCTTACGCGTAAAGTATTTTTATAAGCCTAATGTTTTGCATGTATGTTACATAAACTTCCGTTGAATGCGGTTCTGTTAAGTGCATATCTTTCACACATATTTGTCAAATCTTTAAAACGTCGCGTCACTATTTTTTATACTGAAAGGGAATGTATTTTAATGTACTTTATAATTAATTAAAGTACACTCTTTTCTTTACGCGTAGAGTATTTTTTTTAGCCTAATGTTTTGCATGTAAGCAACATAAACTTCCATAGAATGCAATTCCATAAAGTAAATATATTTCACACATATCTTTTATATTGTGAGGTCCCGCCACGCTTTTAATTTCTAGAACATTATTATTTCATTACGCGATATACCAGGAAACCTCTTTCCTATTTCTTGCACGTTAGTCTTAGTCTTAATCTTAGTCCTTATTTTTGAATTTTTCTGGACATTAATCTGAATCTTTAGTTTTTGTGAGTTTAGATGGGTAAAATTATTTTAATTTTATATAAATCATTCTTTGCTTCTTGTCGCTCTCTATTATCTAAGGAACATTTTAGATATAATTTTACCTTTGCATAGATAAAAGATGTATATATATGTTACTGTCAAAGCGGGAAATCAGGCAAAACTAGTAAATCCTCGACATTACTATGAATATGAAGAGCCTTTAGACGAAGTCGGCAATTGAAAAATTTTTTCAATTTTTCCTAGGCATTGAACAAAATACTTTGATATTCTATAGGATATCAA